ATGTCAACACAAGATCCACGAAGGAGCTTCGCCATCACCTGGGTAACAGCTAACATGGAAAACTAGTTTACATTTTCTGTTCCATTATCCCTATATAACCCCTAAACCCTAAACCCTAAACCTATAGTAGCTTCCATTTTCTTTTCCATTATCCCAATATAAACCCAATATACGAGGCTTTCTGACGAGGACAAAAAGGGCGAACTGGTTGACCGTCTCATTCTTTTCAGGCAGGCGAAAGGGCTTTAGGGTTTTAGGGTTTAGGGTTTAGGGCTTTAGGGTTTAGGGCTTTAGGCTTTAGGGTTTAGGGTTTAGGCCTACCTGGATCAGGGTGACATCTTGTGACAAGCAAAAAAAGGGCACAGGTAGGACTTAGAAACCTGGACCCGATCTGCCTACGGTTCAATATCAACCAACCCCCAAAATGTTAGGGATAGCCCATAACGCTGTAGGCAACGGAGGTTTGCAGGTAGCTCAATATAACCCCAATATACTATACCCTATATAATCCCTATAATCCCTATATAACCCCTATAATTCCTATAACCCCAATATAATATAGAAGACGTCCTGCAGCCTCGCTTCCTCATAGTTACTGCGCATGCCACGTTCCAAAAAGCTGTTGGGGCTATGGATTTCTTGGTCTTGCAGAGTATGATCCACGGCTTACGGTTTCCTGGTTTGGAGTGGGGGATGATAGCCCTAAGGGTCCAAGGACCCAAATAATAGGGTTTTAGGGCCCAAATACCCTTAATATTATAGTATTTGGGCCCTAAAACCCTATTATTTTGGTCCTTGGACCCTTCGGGTAGGTACTACCATACCTGGGTTCTAAGAATGCAGGTTCACTGCTACCTTCAGATATCCTCTTTGAAGGTATCCCCGGTTCCTGGCGGTTACACAGCAAGAAATCAGTGTACCCAAGATGCTCAGCAACACTGGGCCTGGCTTATGTGGGGGCCTGAGTGCGTAGAACAGGCTTTTGAGGTAGATTACATACTTTAGTTACATAAGTGTAGTTCGTGAACTGTAGGAATGGTAATTCTTGAGGCTCCTTACGTAGAAGCGGTTGGTGTGTGCATCAACATCGAAATCTCAATGTACTCAGCAGTCCCCCAATTCAAGTTTGACCCAGATGTACTGTTGTTCTAGGGAGCACTCAAGCACGGAGCGCGTTTCAATGGTTGTTTTCATGTGAAATGTTGCGTTGGGTGATTGTTGGAAATCATTGTTGTGTCCGAGCGCTGCAGAGTGTCACATCTCCCAAAGGGCTCCACCAGGGCCATGTTTTCTGTCGGAAAGAGTTTGCAATCGCTTTGGTTTTGCGGAAGGCCAACTGCCTTTTCTGACTGATACTGTGAAGTAGAGGCGTCGGACGATTGTTTGCAAAAGCTGGTTTGTGTTGTTGGGTATGGTGGAGCAGTCCCTGCAAGCCCACTGGCGGGCGCCACAGCTTTGAGCGTAGACATACTGCAGCCGCTTGAAGATAGTCTAGCATATATCTGGAGTTGCCTGCTGCTGTAGACATTTGCTCTTCGCCATGGCTTACCGTGCTCAGTACGACATGGAGGCACCGCAGCCCTACATGGATTTCCAGGGCATTGGCGAGAAGCAGATGCGCCTAGGCTTCATTCGGAAGGTCTACGGGATCGTCGCTTGCCAAGTGGCGGCCACAGCCCTCACCGCAGCTTTCTGTGCGGGACCTCTTCGCTCGACTGTCGTCGGTTTTGTTGTGCACTGGCCCTCAGCCTTCAAGTGGGGATCCCTTCTGGCAACTGGCCTGGCATTGCTCATTTGCCACGCCGGCAAGAACTCGTACCCAGTGAACTTCTTTGGCCTCGCCTTCCTCACTGCAGTCATGTCTCTTGATGTTGGTGTGATGGCAGCCGTGGCGAGTGCCATGGGGATGGGTGCATGTGTTGCCCAAGCAGCTATCATCACAGCCCTCCTTGTGACGGGGCTGACGATCTACACCTTCCGTTCCAAGCGCGACTTCTCCTTCCTTGGCGCCGCCCTGTGGCCTTTGACCTTCGGCCTTTTCGCCTTCGGCTTGCTTAGCTGCTTCTTCCCGTCCCTCCACACTGGAATCTTGGGCCTCATCGTCTCGTTTGCAGGTGCCGCCATCTTCTGCGCTTATCTAGTTTACGATACCTGGCGTATTGCCAACGAGCTCCAGGTGGATGACTACGTGGAAGGTGCCATCCAGCTGTACATGGACATCATCAACCTCTTCATGTACATCCTCGACATCCTGATGCAGCTGAACAAGCCCCAGAACAGCGACTAGCTCCGCAATGAGTAGCAGGTGGGTAAGTTTTCCGCAGTGCTCAGTGGTTTTGATGGGTTGGTCGCTGTAAACTTATGTGGAGTATCGGGCCTTGTGCAATTGGTGCTCAGGGTAAAAGATTTGATTCATTGGTTGTGGGAACGCCTAACCTGAAATCCCTCGGCTAATTCGCACAGACAGATCTTCAAGCTTTGAGTGCTGGGCAGAAGGAGTCAAAGCGGGAGGAGGTATGACCAGTACTCTTCATAGTGGCGCTTGGGACGTGGGCTACCTCAGCTTGACTGGGTCACTTGTAGGCATCTGAATGTCGGTTAATGCTTCTTCCTGCGGCTTTTTGTGGATGCTGCCTTTGTACAGTCTGCACCAGTGATGACTACACAGCGCATGGTGCAGTACTATAGTTCTGCCAGGTTATGCTTACAGAGAGTCATTTGTATGCTCTTGCCTTTTGATGCGCATTCGCAACCTGCAGTGCGACGGTCCCAATTGGCCTCACGTCGCCTGCGCAGCAGCGCTGATGTCAGAATGGCGTGGCATTCATGGTAGCTAGTGCAGTGCTGCTGCAGGTACTCTCCGTACCAGACCCATACCCAGCAGAACATCCAGGAAGCCAACAAAAGCACTCAGTTGCAGATCATCAGGTGAGCTTGAAATGTTGAGGTAGTCCCGTTTCTGTTTCCGCTGGTGGCCTCTTTAGCAAGATGTTTCAGGGTACAATGTGGGTGCGGCAAGACAATACTGCCGGTGAAAGTTTATGAAGGTTTGCCATCATTTCAAAGCACGTTGGTGCCTCAGGAGGGGGGGGGGGTTATTGACTGTATTTTCAGTCGACGGGTAGCTTCCCCTCAGCAAGCCTTACATAGCCCTATATACCTCACAGTTTCCCCACATGAAAACTCTGTTAATCTTTAGTTGTTGTTGTCCTGCCTTGCTTCTGTCCTTACTGGTTAGGGCTATTTTGTAAACTGAAAAATTAAAAAGGAAACTGGGTTATATGGGTTATATAGGGGTTTGCAGGGCTACGTTTCAAAATAATTCTGATTTTTATGAACCTCAATCTCTGTGTAACCCTTATAAACCCATAGTTGAATTGTATGAGGCTCCCAAACCTACACTAGTTTATCTCAAGAATTCTAGAGACGAGGGTACAGTCCAAGATGGCGGTTTTCAGAATTAAAGGGTCCAGCTTTTGACCCGGAATATGATTGGGGGTATATTCCTGAACAAAGGAATATCCCTCAATATGCCCTAAATTGGTACTAGGACCCTTACAACGTTTTAGGGTATCTTCCTTACTGAAAGGATATTGGGCCTTCTGAGCCCTAAACCCCGAATCCCTAAACCACATAATCCCCAAAGCCTAAACCTCATATTTATGGGCAACATAGATTTTTGAAGCCACTGCAGGTGGGCAGAGCATTGGGGCGCTCAGTATCCCGTGAATCGATTCGGGACCATCCGCAGGGCACCCATCCTCTGGCAGCTTCAGGGTTTAGGTTTTAGGGTCTAGGGTTTAGGGTTTAGGGTTCGGGGCCTCCATGTTAGAGGGCAGCAAGAGGGTCCTACTTGTGGTACCCAATAACCCGGTACTTGGGATATGGATCAGAGTAGTTATGGTGCAGGTTTGGGTACTGTAAGTTTGTGGGTGCTCACTTTCACCAAGTGCACCTATGTCGTTCTTTTGGGGTTTGTTCCGATTTTCCGTGGCAGGTTGTGATATCATATGCTACCCAAGAAGGGACTCCACAGGAGGGTTTGGGTAGAAGGTGGGGGATTTCTCGCAGCAATCTCTACAGAATTCTTGAAGTACAACCGTTTAATTTCCTTCTCAATCCTAGACCCTAAACCCTAGTGTTCTTTGGGTCCCCCAAGGCACCCATATTTCTACAAATTCCCGGGCTCACGGGACTGAGAGCCTTTCTGAAAGAAGCTCAGGAAAAGACAATGTCGCTATGTGTTGCACTTGTATATTTTTTTCGTATGAGCAGGAATATGTTTTGTAAAGGAATGGATCCTCAGAGCAAACCTTGTGGCAATCACACAAAACACTGCCTTTGCTGCCTGCGGGCGAGTGCGGGTTCATTTGTTTGCCGCTGCTGCGTGTTTTTCTCATGCTGTTTACGATAGATTTCCTAAATAGGAGCAACCCAAGACAGACCCCAAAAGGCCATCATCCTGATGATAGGGACATCGAAAAAGTTCTCCCTACTTTGGTGAAACCCTCATACACCAGCTGCCGCGGCTTATAGTTGCAGATCGTGCTGCAACGGAATCCTGGCTCTGAGCTGATTTGTTCTTCTCTGGTTCAAACTGAAGCGGCACCATGCTTGCAACAGAACCTTGCTGAAAGATCCTTCTTGCGCCTCAGACGTCGTGATCTTAATTATGGCGACGTAGTGTAGGGATATGACTTTGAGGGGTCCTTGCGGCCCCTGAGCCATTCGTAGCAGATCCTTGTCCGGCTAGTGCTGATTCCTGAAACATCGGACAGGAATATTCAAGTTCCTGCTGTAATCTTCATATCCCTGCGTGCCCGCCGTCAGCCTTGCAAACAACAGCTTCAGCCGTGTTCCCAGAATAAGGGAATATATTATATACGGGTTCTATTGGGATCATTTTCCTCTGTTCGCTGCTAACAACCATGAAGAAATGTCTTCCGGACCTGCAATTCAGGCTCAGCCAACAACTTCGTCGAGACGATGCAGCGACTGGCCAGGGCCTATGTTTTGATGACGCGGTTTAAGGGTCAAGGGCCTAGGGTTCAGGG